TAAGAAATTTTGCTTACAATTTAAACAAGTAGAATTAAAGAGGGGTGCCACTGGTAATGGTTTTTATTCTATTTCTGTAGACGTCAGCAATTTTTATTTCTCAAAAAGTCCCGCAAAGGCAAACTTCTTATGCAAACATATTAGGTAGGTGCAAAACTATTTCTGTTTCTTTATAAACGCCATAACTTCTCCCGTCTCAACAACTTTTATCATCTTAATTCTTTCCGTCTCAACAATTTTTATTTCACCTTAAAGTGAAAAAGTAAGATGGCTTTGCCATAATGCCTAAAGCTGCATGAAAAAGCACAATTTTTTCTCGAAGACTGCGATTGTTAAAAATATCCCAAAATGCACAATATTTTTGTTGTTGTATACTAGTTGAGGTGGAGATGCTACACAATGTGCAGAGCTTGACTTAACTGGTAATAGTGCAGTTGTCTCAGTCCTTAAAAGCAATTTCCAGAAATTAAGGATTTCGGTCCATTAGATAACGACCGACCCTCTAACTAAACCAACAAATTCAGACGTATAGTTCTCCTCAGTAAGCAAGAAAATCGCACCAAACGCTTAGATCATCCCGCTTCCTTTAGGTTACCCTACCCACTCAGCAGCGAATTCCCCTCTGCATCGCCAAAGTTCGGCTTTTCTTCTAGCGAGAAACATGTCCGCATAAACTACCGCGGTTGCCGAGAGTAGTGCCTACCTTTCGTCCTAGTCTTCGTCGACTATGAGAGCTTGACACCACTAAGACTGATGCCATACTGTAAACGCCCTCAATCAAAGGATGGACCTACTTTACATGAGGACATTGGCCGAACGCAACAGAATTGCTCTAAAACGGCACGACTTTTCCTCACCCTCTAGCTTAGCAACGGTGCTGGAGGACGAAAGGCAAGACAGTTTTGCCAAAGTATCACGGCCTTGTAGGTGATGTGATGATCACAGGAGCTAATAGGTAGGTGTTGCAGCACTATGAACTTTCATGAGTCTCAATTGGTCAAAGAGAGCATCGACAGTAGTTTTGAAGAAATCAAACCTACTCAGGAAAAAAAGTAGGCCTTTACCAAAGCACAAGGTTTAGTTTTCGTAGAGATGAACGCTCAAATGACTTAGAAGTGGAAAAAATGTTAATAGGTATCAAGAAGGATCCTTGGACAAGTTGGGAGAGATGTAGAAGACTTCTGTTAAGAGAGCAGGTAATAACTGGGCCAATGATTTCTAAAATACAATCAAGTAATGGCACAACCACAAACCTGATGACAACGCTGCCGGTCTTT